GCTCATTGATTCTTTTCTTCAAATTCCTCAACGTTGCACCTATATATACTAAGTTAGATTTGAATCTATGGTCTCTTAGCAGTATTGAGATTAAAACAACCACTTCACACCTAAGTGATAATTCCAGCAAATGAACAATAAAAATTTTAATGTTCAAATGTTTTCGGCCGAGTATATTCCTGTGTGTTCTTCTGTACCCTGTGGGCACAGAAGAGCACGCAGTGTATTAACTATAGAGATGCCGACGGCTTTCGTCCGGTTGGACATCTTTTTGTGATGACTTGACATAGTTCTATATAAAAAGCTTAATCAAGCTTAGGATGATCCTTGGTAGATATTTTATTATTATTTATTAAACACACAGAAATTTGTATATATCACTTTCTTCATAACATGTTATCTTTTAATTTTTTACATAACCATTTATTTGAAATTCGTATGCGTAATTTTTTGAATTTCCCGTTTCGAATTAGAGAAATAACTGATGATGAACACTTAATGCGTTTGAAAACGTTTTTATGCTATTAAAGAATTATGCTGGATACTTGAATGGTTTTTATTTTTATTGAATTTATTCTCCAGTAAGCAAGTATACATTTATTTATCCTTTTCTTTTCCTTTTTGTAATCTGGCCAATCATGACCCACGAATAGTAAAGCTCGTCATGTGACAGGAAAGGGTTGAAGACAGAAGGAAGAATTACAGGAAAGAAGAAGGAATTCCTATTCTATACACAACTATATACAAAAATAAACATGGCAGACATCCACAAAGAAAAATAAATAATATTAAGTGGATAGGAAAATAACAATACTGGAGCTAAAATATTCTATCATAAATAAAATCAGAAATAAAATCCACAAAAAGACAATTGCAATTGTATGGAAGGATGATGCTCCTAAGATTTCCATTATCTGCACTATATGACAGTATGCCTGGATGAGCAAAAAGAAAAGGAGGAAGACCCAGGATTACATAAATACACAGTAAAGAAAAATTCTGGACTCCAAACCTACAGACAAGTCAACTTACCATCAAAAAAGAAAGATACTTTTTAAAAGTTTGAGGTGTAGTAATTCTAATATACCTGAATATATGGAGTGTGTAAAATGGGCAATAATGAAGACTTAACAAATACCAGACTAACGTAGCAAAAACACAAGGATCGTTTAATCTAACAATAAGAGAATATGATGGCTGCATACATATTTTATAAGACTATGAAAACAACCAACAACAGGAACACATCAATTATCGATTCACGTACATGATAAACTCGTGTCAGTATTATGATATATACATATATGCACACATATATACATTTGAAACATTTAAGCACTATTTAAGCAATAATTTTTAACGATATAGTAGCCACGATTATTATTTTTAAAAATTTACATTAGGCTTAACATCGATGAAAATTCAACGCAAAGCAACACACAATGGAGAAAAATTTCAACATGGGATAGGTTAATATATTTTTTCATATATAAGTGGCGTGCCGTCATTAGAAGCGTTGGAAGCGCCGCTTCCCTCGTATTCTCTAAAAAATAAATAAATATTAATTTTAATTATATGAAAATAATCGCACAATATTTTATTATAACCGCATTATGTATCTTATTACAAATTTCTATACTACACGTGGAAAAAAAAATTGCTATTGTATATTAGAATATTAGTGGCGGAGTGGAATCTCCTGTATTTTCAGATTACGAAAAGCCAGATTTGCGCATGCGCTTTACAGAGCACCAACCTCACCCGGTTTAGCCGGTGGAAGCCTACGACCTTGGGTGAAAGCTGCACACATATAAAGATTCTAATTCTATCAAGGACCGGTTCTGGGCTGTTAGCCGCCTGCCCACTAGATATTTCCATTACGTGAATAACGAGTAGATTTATAACTTAACCCAACAGATAAGAATTTACTGGTATGTTTTTACGATAATTCCGTATAGTCGACAGGAGTTAAAAAATCCATTAAAATATTTGATATATTTATTCCGCTCTCCGATTTTATATTACTCACGGATTTCGATGTTAAACCAGTGATATTACGATTTTGTATATGCCATCTTTAAGGGGATGTAGAAAAAAACGTGTACAATTCTACCAAAGTAACAGTTAAAACGTGTACAATTCTGTCAATTCAGAAAAAAACGTGTACAATTCTGTTACCAAAGTAACAGTTAAAAAATTAACTGTTACTTTGGTAGCATCATTTACAACTAAATTTAATGAATGAGAGAGATGCGCGGGGTACAGAAAAGGCTCTAGAATTTATTTTCCTTAAATTTACGATTTATGTATCCGTTGTCGTAAAAATTTGTCTTTCCACTTTTTTCCCGAGACTACAAAATATTATTCGAGTACAAAGTAACTGGTTTCGACTTATTTCTACTTAAGAAGTAGTTAAATAATTAAGCAATTAGGGAATTGGGGACGTAAACAAAACCCTGAAGAAAGAGCTGGAATTTTACTTAAACAAAAGCCTAACCGGACCAATATCTAGCCGAGTACAGTGGGACTGATTTCTTCGTAATATTAGATGTAATAAAGACAGAAATTTTTCCAGTTCAATGAAAGTGAGTAAAAGTTGTAAATTTTGGAAATGACTTTTAAGTTTAACAAATTTAGATTTTTACAGCTATGATGAGAAACGTTTAAAATTTACAACCCTGTCGCGTCCTTTGAGATATACTAGTGATGAGACAAAAGAGACAGTAACCGGTATCGGCACCCTCGGGATTTGGCAAGCATGCACCGCACCGCACACCTACCAAGACAGTCTCTGATTCCATCCACGAGCCACTGGTAGGGAGCAATTTTAACTAGGTGGATTGTTTTAATATTTAAAAAGTAAAGACTATTTTATGTTATTTTTATGTACTTTTCTTCACAAAACTATATTTATAATTTTCTTTAAAAGTATATTCATACAATTGAATATTTTGTACCAGGTATGTATAATTGTATATCATCACACATTTTATTTTAACAAGTAAGTTTTTATAATTTTATTTTTAATTTTAGCCCTTATATTATAGCTAGCAATTTAGAATGTAATTGTGATATCGAAAATTTATTTCAAAAAGTTTTGGCTCGAGACCATATAATGAAAAAGAAAAAATTTGTTCGACATTTTCATGATAAAATTTATGAAGATATAAAATGGCTTTGTGGATGCATAAAAATGCAAAATTTGTTTTGTTGGCCTTGCCTACTATTTTCAAATAAAATTAGTGTGTAGAATGAGATTGGCTTTGACGATTTAAATAATTTGAGTAAAGCTGGCAAAA